AATCATGACTACACTCAGCTGCATAATCCATGAGTTAGCTGTGGCTTCGAAATAACTTCGGTTATCTCATCGAGGTTGTATAAACAACTTACGCTAAAATAATTAAAACGGTCAGTGAAATCAGGTGTAATGTTGTCTTACAGGATTAAATTCTTCCGTCTTTAGGTAATCAGGAACAACACAAGATAAGAAGATACGTCTCATTACAAATTGAAAAAAATCACTCATTTGGAAATTAAATGACAAAAGGCCAACAATCTGGTTTTTTTTAGCAAAGAACATTTCGCATGACTCATACAAAACCAGATTTCACTGTCTATTACACTGCCCCACTGCTGTTAGTTGCCTAGATAGCGTTTTAACATGTAACCAACTCCACTGTATTTGAGCGCTAGCAATGGCAGATGTACCACGCATCATTTTGTCCGTTAGAGCTACCCCAAGCTAATAACTATCGACTGGTCCTCTATGAGTCCACGTATGCATGCATGGGGAGCATGTATACATGTATGAATCAATTGGTAACGAAGTTGGTCTTAAAGAGCAATCTGCTCCAAATTATGGTCAGATACAGTAAGTCATCCCCATTCCATATACTGCGCCATTTAATGACTGGAATTCGTGAAAACCTGCGGATAGCAAGAGTTCTCTACGGCAGAAGAGCCATATATAATACAGTCACTGGAAAAACGAATTCTTCACGCGTTAGAAGTTTCAACGCATTAAAGATAAAATTTAAATGTATAAACTGACTTACCTGTAGCTGGAGGCACACAAGTACGCGTTGAGCGGAAAAGAAACGGCGGTAAAGGTCCATGACGTCAATTCAGTTACGGGAGCAGCAATGGAACAAAGAACTAAAGGCAATGTTGTCTGTAAGAGGCTTGAGGAAGGACATCATCTTACCTGTAAGCATTACCGAAAAGCTGAGGGCCGTCTGCTTGCAAAGTTTAGGATGTAATATACACATCATCCTGAAACCTGCCTTCGAATAATCACGCCTTATTTTCCAACTGAGGGCACTAAAATGCGGGAACTGCCAGGAGTACAATATACCGCCTAAAACTAAAGCCGGCAAGCAGAGAGTTCCACCAGCGGCGGCAGTCCATCCCATCAGCGGTGGGATGGCGCCAACAAACGAGCCAATGAACGTGTTGTAGTAGGTGATACGCTTCAATGGCGTATAGACGAAAGCGTACAGGGCGATGTTAAGCAGTCCGAGCATAGCTGTCATTGACGAGGTAGTGTTATACAAAATAACGAAGCCTGAACATGATTTTTTCAGACAGGCTAAGTCTAGAAATTGTCGCTTACCGCTTATGGACGAAAGAACGGCAAAACCAAGTGCATGTTCCCATGAAATTCTGTTCCGAACCAATACTCGGTTACAGGTGCGTTGCATTTGCGAGTCAAACGGAAATTCGATCAGCTGATTTAAAGCATTGGCACCGAAGGACATAAGAGCGGTGCCAACGCAACAGCTGACCAGCGATGCTACGTAGCAAGGTTGCATCAAAGGACACATGAAGTAACCGAGGGCTGCGGTCATTACGACCAGAGACGATAGCCTTGCCTTAGACAGTTGAGAATAAACAAGGGGGAGCTGCGTGATGGATGCTCGGCGAAAAGGCGTCCACTGATCCACCGTGTTGTTCGCCTGCAAGCAACGACGCACGACGAAACGAAATTCGTCCTGCAAACATTGCTCATGACTTACGCACTATAACAGATAGAAAAATTTCCCATGATTTTACAGATGTGAAAATGCAGCAAAGTACCGTAAACCTAACATAAATCATCACCTATATACCAGAAACATAATTTTGTAAGCAATGTAGGTATAGCATCCCTATACAGTCTAGAAAAACCAGAGTCGCATCTAGGACTACAAATATTTCCAGGTCATGTAGTCGTAGACTGCTTAAATCGTCCAGCAACCATGTTAAGAAAAAGCGAGCGGAGCAATACCGAGCGAGTGATACAATGCTTTGGAGTTACGTACATGCACATTAGTATCCTTCAGGTTATGAGTCCGTGTTTCTCATGCCTGTGAAGGCATATATCTAGTATTGCAGATGTTCCAGTTCTCTGGAGCTGCGGCTTGCTTAAAA